AAGTCTGTAACCTCTAAACTACAGAATATTTTATAATGCCATTTATTTATTTATTTTTTAAATATATCTTTATTGATTTCAGAGAGAGGAAAGGAAAGGGAGAGAGAGAGATAGAAACACCAATGATGAGTCATTGATCGAGCCTGCAACCCAGGCATGTGCCCCGACTGGGAATCGAACCCCCATCGCCTGGATCCTACGTCAACACTCAACCGCTGAGCCACGCCCTGACGGGCTATAATGCCTTTTAAATATTCCTTTTACTCCAAAAACTTCCTGGTTAAAATTTTCTTAGGGGGAAAAAAAAGGAACCTCATTGAACTGAGATAATTACAATTCAAAGTGACGCGTGCTTACACTCTATTTTTGCTTTGATAAAAACAGGCTGCTAGGCCTTTTTACTGACTGCTGTGCTGTTCAGCTATCACTTCTCTATCATGGATGTCTGCTTCATACTCTCACCTGGGCTGCTTACTCCTCTGCTACTGCTAGATTCCCAGGATGCTTCTCGAGCCTGTACTTTTACCTGTTTCACCTGTCTCCTTTCCCTTTTCCGCAGTTTTACTAACGTTCTTCATGTACTCTGCATTTGGATAAAAATACCAGGAGCTTTGATCATTCCACTTCTATCTTACACATTATTATTTAACAATTCTGTAGTTTCAGCTTATTTAAAAGAACTTCAGTGTTTTATATTTTAATACTTGTTTAGATTTATTCACATGCTAATTTCCTGCCTACGATCCTTCTTGCATCTGAGTCTTTCCTTTGGGGTTTAATCTGTTCCTTCCTGACGTGCATCCAGTTCTTCACTTGTTTGTTGCTCAGGGGCACTGACCACTGCTCAGCTTGGAGCAGCCTTGGATCAGCTTCTACCATTTGCAACAAATACTCTCGTGCTCATTACCGTTTGCAACAAACTGATCCCCTTTCTGTGTCTCAAGGACTCATTATAATTTCTTGTCTAATAAACCCCTTCTTATGGCCCAGACCAAATGCGGATGCATTCATTTTAACAGTATCTTTTCTGTGGCGGGGAAGAGGGTACCTGGCATGCGCTCAGACCTCCAATCCTGAAGTGCAAGTCCCACTGTGCTCCCTACACTGCAGCCCGCCAATTAAAAATCAGCCCAAACAGCTTTTACAGACAGAAATGTACATGCTCAGCTTCCTGCGACTGTCCGCAACAGGGATTCTGAAAGGCGATCTTAAGTTGCAGAAAGAACATGGACTTCTGGGTCATAATCTCGATTCCATTATATGCTGACTGAATTCAGGCAGTTACTTAACCTCCTCGAGAAAAATGGTTTCCTTATCCATAAAATGGAGAGGGACATACCTATGCATTTGGGTTGGTAAAAATTAAAGGAGACTATATACACAAGGTGCTTAATACATATTAGATTTTCCACAGATGTTAGTTTCTTCTTTTGCTATATGGATAATCAAGAATTAAATGTTTTAAATTCCCATTTTGCATTAAACTTAAAAAATAGTCCAGCCCGGTCGGGTGTGGCTCAGCGGTTGAGCATTGACCTGGGATCCAGGCGTTCGGGTTCGATTCCTGGTCAGGGCACATGCCCGGTTGTGGGCTTGATCAATGACTCTCTCATCATTGATGTTTCTATCTCTCTCTCTTCCTCTCCGTTTCTCTCTCTGAAATCAATAAAGATATATTTAAAAAAAAATAGTCCACTAAGTATTACATAGTTTAATTTCAAATATTCTAGCAACCTTTCTTTTTGTTTTTGTGAATTTACCCCATTAGTTGTGATCAAACTGAGTTCTTAAATTTCTGTTTATTGTTTTGGCTTTTTTCCTATGCTACTGACATACTAGGTATATATACTAAGAATGACAATGAGTCTGGTAAACTTCTTAAGCCAAATACTTTAAAAATGAATTTATAATAATCCCTAAGGATTCTACTTTTGATAAAAAGAATAAACCAGATTTCCTAATACAAACATTGATTTTAATGTAAAAAAAAAAAAAAGCACTGGAACAGCCTCATTTTAGCAACTATGGATTTTTAAAAGAGTACAATCAATTTCTTTAAAAAAAAAAAATTGGCTAACAAAACTATAGGGTATCCATTAAAGCAGCTTGTGCAATAAAAAAATGAAAAGTAATTAATCTGGAAAAAGCAGAACTAAATTTTACTAGGTTGCTTTCATAAAGGTTAAAAAATATCACCTAAAACAAAAAACAGCTCTGCCATCAAGAGAGCCATCTCTGAATGCCTCTGACTTAGCTACAAAAACCCAGGCTCAACACAAAAGAACAATATTACAGGCATAAGTAAAAGAAAAAATAAACTAGTTAAAAGACACCTCAACTTACAACCAATAATTTAGCAACAGAGTACATATTTATAGAGACCCTTCTGGGATAACATATTAGGGCCTAATGTACATGCAAATCAAGCCAGAAGAATCTTCCTTTAGCTATGGAATCATCTCAATGACCTGGAGCATATTTTGGGAATCAGGGATAGAGAACAATGAATGGTTCCGGTCCTCTCTAACATAAGGTTAACCAGTTCTTCTTTTGTTTGTCCCACAGGAAAGAGAGGTGTATCAGAAAGAAATAGAGTTTGGATCCATAGTTTGAGATATGGCTAAAAAGAGCGTGTTTAGGGCATCTCCTTCAGTAAACGACTGGAGCCTAAGGATCTAAGCTCAAAAGGATCCTGTGGAGGTTTTTATTTTCTGAGTATAACAACCTTGGCAGGGTAGAAAAGGTCATGGAAAGGGGGAGGGGGGGAGAAGGAATCTTTTCTTTTGGTTTGTTTTTATTCTGACTTAGGAATTTATGTTTTTAATTGAGATAACTGACATGTAACACTGTGTTAGTTTAATATTTGTACATATTGTGAAATGATTATCACAGTAAGTTTAGTTAATATCCAACACCTCTCATCCTTACAATTTTTTTTTTGGTGATGGGAACTTTTAAGATTTACTTACCTCTTAGCAACTTTCAAATATACAGATTAAAAAAAAAATTTTTTTAAATCAAATATATAATACAGTAGTACTGTTAGCTTTCTCTTTTACTGTATACACTTAGTAGATAGGCTGAGGTCAGGAGAATTAAGTCTATGCTGAGGAAGAGAGCTGACAGGCAAAAAGAAATCAGACCCTGTCCTCCTGTGGCTTAAGCCCAGGGTTAGGCTGTGCCTCAACTGTAGAGTTTTATGTGTCATCAAGATCTCTTTAAGCCTATCTGAGCTGGGGTTAGTAACCTGCAATACCAAGAGTCCAAACTAATAAAACATGAGAATTACAAAAATCATTCACGAACTGTAAATCAGTATTTGTAGCCTGTGACAATTTTTAATACAGTAAGCAAAAATAACCCCCCAAGAATGAAATTATCTAATAGTTCACAAAGGTACTTTTTAATCTTTTCATGAGTGTGGAGGGAGGAGTAGCCAGTAAGGAGTAAGACAGTGACTGAAAGTCTTTGTGAGCACATCCTACCACAGATTCTCAACTGACTACAGTGGCGAAAGATATTTCCGTTTATTTTGGCCTTTGGAGAATTTAGTATACTTCTTATTACAGAACTTAGTATAGTATCTAAAAATTACTGTTGACATATACCAAAACCCCCCCAAAACTCATAAAACAACCATGGCACATTTAAAGAAATCCTGTGACTGTGTTTAACGTGAAGCTAAGGGTAAAACCCCTGAGTTTTAGAGGACCTGAATTAACTGCTTTCAGAATAGTATCTTTAAAAAGTCCTCAAAGTATTATAAGACAAATGTGCTACCTTCTTTCCCAATTTTCTCTAAATTTTACTGAAGCTGACTTGATGAAGCATAAAATCCTCTGCAGTCTCAGTTATAATAAAAGCTATTAATTAAGCACTTGTGTACCAGGCATGATGGCAACATGCTTCATATACACTTACTCATTTAATTTCCATTTCTTTCTTGCTGCTTTTAGCAGAGCTTTATCTTAAAACACCAAATAAAATGTTATAAATTTATAGCACTTTCCATCCAGAGTATGGCCGTAAAATGATAAGTTTGGGATTAATACTGGTGCCTTATTAAGATTTCTTGTCTTGTCTGGCTGGCGTGGCTCAGTGGCTGAGCATCAACCTATGATCCAGGAGATTGAGGTTCGATTCATGATCAGGTCACATGCCTGAGTTTCGGGCTTGATCCCCAGTCAGGAGTGCGTAGGAGGCAGCGGATCAATGAATCTCTCTCATCGCTGATGTTTCTCTCCCCTCCCTCCCTTCCTCTCTCTGAAATCAATAAAGACATATTTATATATAAAAAAAAAAGATTTCTTATCTCCCAACATTTGCAGGTCCTATCTAAAATAGCTAAATGGTTGCAGCTGATGCGTTAATTTCTGAGGCTGGATTTTGAACTCCATCTAAGTTTATAATAGCAAAGCCAAAACACTGGAAAACTCCAGATTTACCATGATCTCAGTAACATTAAGATACCGGATGAGCCCTTACTTACAGAAAAAGAAGTTTATAAATTTCAAACCAGGGCTACTCTGGTCTGTGAACTTGGTACCAGTCTACAAACTGTTACTAGTCCACAACATTTTCTAGATCATTTCAGCTAACTTTTTTTTTTCCACAGCAAACTATTCTTTTTTTAAAATTTGATTTGAGAGAGAGAGAGACATTGATTTGTTGTTCCACTTATTTATGCATTAATCAGTTGATTCTTGTATGTGCCCTGACTGCGGATTGAACCCGCAACCTTGGCATATCAGGACAATAACTGAGCAACCAAAGCAAACTACTTTTAATGAAGATTGTATTGTTTTATATTCCAGCCCAAGCTCCTTACCCATTATGAACTAGTAACAGCTTGTGGACCAGCTATTTTGGGTTATAATGTTCTGGACCTCAATTCTGCATACAACTAGTTTTCTGTCCTCGAGGCCAAACAAATTTTAAATAAATTAAACACTTAACTAAAACAGTCACACAGTAATGTAAAAATTAGCAATTCACCTTACCTTCGACAGAAGCAATTTCACACAGGAAACGTGACCTTCGTAGACAGCAGACAGAAGGGGAGTAATGTGATGTTTATCTGGAGCCTGTGAAGTAATAAATAAAGAGATAAACCACCTTATCCATTTTTCATTTCTTTCTAATTAGGGAACACTTGTATTTTAAAGTCAATATTTCCCCATTTGCCTTTCTATACAAAATCACTTCACAGCTACAAGTTTCTAGCCTCTGGAGAGCTGCCCTCTAGAGGCCTGAGCCCACATGCAAGGTTTCTCCCTGGGAGTCAGCACAGTGAAGTCGAGGGTGCAGGGCTTTGACCTCAGCTCTGCCATTTACTGTGTGACTAGTTAATCTCTCTGAGCCTCTAGTCCCCACTAGTACAGAAATACCAGTGAAAAGGTAAAAGACTGCCACAGCTGGGCCAAGCGACATAGTGTCCCCTGAAATGTGAAAAGTTCATCTCACTGCTGTCATGGTTACTTACACATTTTTCTAAAACTCTGAAATGCAGAAGCCACAGAAGACAAGAGCCAGGGGATGACTGCTCCTGTCTGACCACTTGCCTACTGACCTCTGTGCCAAAATGCCTTTTACATTTTTCGTATGATTTGCAGGGTCCTATGGTCCACTGACTGGGTGGTAATAGCATCTGCTCTCTACAGGCAGTGCTAACTCTCAAGTTGCAACAGAGCTTCACAAGCAACAGTCGAGGGGAATCAGCCTGACCCTCAGCTTGAAAGTCAGTTTATTCTGCTTATTCTTTACAATCCCAACTGTACATTTCTAAGTTACAGAAATCTGGTGTAATTTCAGACTATTATTTAAAATGAGGTTTCCACAATAACTATCTTTACACATCTATATAAAATAACTTACCAAAGCATACAACAGAATTTTTTTTCTAGAATGACAATGTTCTTTACATACATTAATATCTGCTCCTTTCAGCAGCAGGAATTCCAGGATTTCAAGCTGCCCACAATCTGCTGCATAATGAAGAGGTTTCCTTCCACCTTCTAGTGTCCGGTTGACATCTTCTCCCTTATAAAAGAAGCCAGATGAAGACATTTATGTGGATGTAGAATAAGGAGGGAAGGTACTTGATATTTTCACTTTCTTAAAGCTCTAAGAGTTTCATGAAATAACTGCATTTCTTGCAAAGTGAAGTAAACAAAAACTTGAAATGAAATTCTGCACTATTAATACCTCAGCACACAGTATGACAGTAATTCAAACCACGATTAGTCAAGTGGAAAACAATAAGCAATAACGCTGACTGTAATGAAATATATTGCTGTGCTCTATTTCTAAGAAGTTCAATCAGCATGATGTCAAGAGTTGGCCACATGAAACTGAGGAGTTCAAACACTGACTTTTTACACAGGTCACATGACATGTATTTTAACTCTTCAAAGAAAGCATGCTACTTTGATGCAAGTCAGACATCATCACAAGGTAATCAGTATTAGCTATTAAGAATTCATTTCCTTCACTCAACATCTACTCAAGTCCTACTGTACGGTAGGCACTGGACGCGGAACAATAGTGAGCAAAATCAGACGGCTTCGGATTGTGTGGAGCGTGCCATCTAGTGTAATCACATTCAAGCATATTCAAAATATAACTATTACGAAGGCAAGAAACTCAGTGCTACACAAATACTTTTCAGAAGAATATGACAATCTTGGTGATGGATGGAGGGTGGGTAGTATCAGAAAATGAACTTAAGGCCTCAAAAAAGTTTTCATCATTGAGGATTAACAGAGAATCTAACACTAATAAATATAATTACTGTCTCTGCTGACCAGCTACTTACCACAGGTTCGGCACTGTGCTACTCGCATTATTTCTAATCTTTAAATAATCCTAAAAGGAGAAAACCTCCATTTAACATATGAAAAGTCTAAAGCTGAAGGAGGTTAAATAACTTTTTAATGTGGCTCAGTAAGTAACAGTAGAGATCTAAACCCCAAAATGACCACATTGCCTCCAATTCAGTATTCAATCCTTTTATCTTAAGGAAAATGCAGACTTTACAGAGTAGCAAAGTGTCTGAAAAAATTTACTTTCTTAACTACTGTATTATTCACCTAGCGTGGTTTAGTCAACTCATCAAGCCATATCTTGAATCGAGATAATTCAGAGCTCTATCATTTTATAGCCATTGTGAGCTGTTCTTTCAAACATACTCTCTATGGACACAGAAGGTGTGTTACTTGCTTAAGATCACTGGACACTGGGTTACTACCAGTAACACTCCAACTCTACCACTTAGCTGTGGGACCTCAGACTATTTTCTAAATCTTAATTTCCTTATCTGTAAAATGAAAATACTTATATCTCACAGGATTTAGTGCATCATTAAAGGAGATAATTCGTGCAAAGTAACACAGTGCCTGACACAGGGTAAAACGTAAAATATTAACTGATTTCTGTGGATCACTGATGTTGATTGATACTGGTTTTAAAAGACTATCCCAATTTGGGTTAAGGCAGGTTTCGGCATTAACAGTTGAAATATAAACAAAGAAATGATTTAATGTAATATACTTTATATTTAGAAACCAATTTAAATAGTAAGAGCAATTTGGTGTACCACCTGAGCCTTTATTCACAACTGTAGAAATGTGAGGCTCTTAGATATTAAGTGATTCACAGATATAAGTAGTTTAACTTTTAAGACTTCCTTTCCAAAATATCTGACAGCTCCCTCCCCTACTAAGTACAAGCATGCAAAAAGCATATAAAACAGAGCTGTTGTGTTTAAACTTTCTCCTTTAACCCTGCAGACACTGAATTTATAATTCTTATTTGAGCAGACAAAAAATTACAGGCACTAGAAAGGCTTTAAGTTACGGCAGGAAGGAAAGGACCCTCTCCAGCAGGGCCTTAGCAAAAGCAGTACTTATGGAAAAATCTATAGTACTAAATGCCTGTATTGGAAAAGAAGAAAGGTCTCAAATAAATGATTTTTATTCTTTCACTTTCAGAAAGTAGGGGGAGAAAAGGTATATGGAAATCTGCACCTTCTGCTTCATATTGCTGTGAACTAAAAACGCTCCAAAAAATCCATTTAAAAACAAATTAAATATGAAGTAAGCAGGAGGAAAGAATAAAAATCAGAGCAGGAACCAATGAAATGGAAAACAGAAAAACAACAGAGAAATCAAAAGCTAATTCTTCAAGATCAATACAACTGATAAATCCCTAGCCAGAGTGGGTGGTAGGCACACAATGCAATATACAGATCATGTATCATAGAAATGTACACTTGAAACCTATATGAACCTATTAACCAATGTCGCCCAGTAAATTTAATTTGAAAAATTAATTTAAAAAGAGTGAAGACAGAAAGAGACTCCCAAGCCCTACATGGCTACACTGCTAAATTTTAGCAATTCTACACATTATTACAGAAAATGGGAAACATCCAACTCATTCTATGAGGTCAGCGTAACTCTGATTCTGAAATAGGACAAAGATGTTAAAAGAAAAGACCGCCAAAGGCCAATATCCTTCATGAACACAAATTCTGAATAAAATATTAGTAAAATGAATCAAACTATATATATAAAAAGATAGTATACCATGACCAAGTTGGATTTATCCCAGGAGTACAGGTTGGTTAAATATCCGAAAAGTCAGTCAATATTAAACCACCATTTTAACAAACAAAAAAAACAAAACAATGACCCATATGATTGATCATTTCAGTAGACGAAAAAGCATCTGACAAAATCCAACACTGATTCCTGCTAGAAACTCAGCAAGGCAGTAAAAGAAAGAAACTTCCTCGGCCTAATAAGGGCTTTCTACAAAAAACTACAACTATCATACTTAACTGGTGAAAGATTGAATCAGGCACAAAAAGACAAGATATCTGTTCTTACCACTTTAGTCAATGTTGTACTAGAAAGCCTAGCTAGTACAATTAGGCAAGAAAATAAAAAAGGGCATCCATTTTGAAAAGGAAGTAAAACTGTCTTTGCAAATGACATGACTGTGCAAAAAATCCAAAGGAATCTACCAAAAAGCTACTAGAATAAGCAATTTTAGCAATGTTGCAGGACAAAAGATTAATATTCAAATTCAACTGCATTTTATACTAGTAGTGAATTGCAAACCCAAGCTAAAAATAGTATTTACAATACCATTCAAAAATATAAGACAATTTAATGATAAATCTAACAAAAATGTGAAATACCTGTACACTGAAAACTACTAAATATTGTTAAGAGAAATTAGAGAGGACCTAAATGAGCAGAGAAACATACCATGTTCGTGGGTTGGAAGACTCAATATTTTAAAGATGTCAATTCTCCCCAAATTGATGCCTAGATTCAGTGCAATACCAGTCAAAGCCCCAGCAGGTTTTGGGGGTTTTTTTGTTGTTGTTTTTTAAAGACATTAACAAATTGATCCTAAATTTCATATAATAGCCAAAACAACTTGGGAGAAAAAGAACAAGATGGAGGGCCAAGACAACCTGATTTCAAGAATTATTAAAAACTGAAGTTATCAAGAAAGTGTGGCATTCGCATAAAATTATAAACTATTCATCCTAATATATAGTGATAGAAAGCAGATCCTGGGAGGGAGTGGGAAGAGCAATAGGAGGGAGGAACTAAAAAGAGGCACTTGAGGGTAATGGATATGTTCACTGTCTTGAAAATTAAATGACATTATTGGCATTTGAGAAAGCTAGTTATGTTTCATTTCTCAAGTACTATTGTTCTAAGTAACAGAAAGCCTCAGTTATAGCACTAAATTCTCTTACTTGGCAACTTACTAGTGTAACAGTCTAGTTCTATTTTTACTATCAATAAATCAACTTGTATGTACTGAGAAACCAGGTTCCTAGCCTTGTGCTAGGCATGCTATGTATTCAAAAAAAGTAGGATTGCAGATCTCTGCCCACAAAAACTTTATTCTTCACTGATTAACTGGTTTGAAAAAAGTATTAATTGCTATGTATCTCACCCACTCACAAAATATAAAATAGTCTGCCCCACTAACTCTCTACGCAGTACTTCTCAAACATTTTTATTGAAGAACTCCAGGTAACAATAGAGAAAAAAATACATGCTTCCCTGAATCTGAAAGTAGAATCTTAAGTTAAAAATTCATACAAATATATCTATGAATATGCATGTATCGTATGTACATATATGTGTTGCTTGTTTTAATATAAAAGTCGCAACCCTAAATCCATAGCTATTGCTCCCCTTCCTCCCTGCTCATGGATGATTCAGGAATTTGGGCCATGTTTACTCTATGGGTTAGAGTATCTTCTTGGAATACAGCTGACTAATAAAGAGCACAATACTCTAAAATTTAATTCATTCTCATCTATTTCTGGTACCATGATATATAATACCTTTCCTTTTGATCTACAGACCACTAGACAATCTATGAATAGACTTTCAAAGAGTATAAATTTTTTGTATGTGTATAATTTTCTAGGTAGAGTCCATGACACTTTTCATTAGAGTCTCAAAGGGGGCCACGACCCCCAAGACGTTAGGCTCCCCTTCTATTAGAATGCATTTACCTAGGTATCTTAAGTCTTACCTACCTTTCACTGCCTACTTAAGTTCTACTTTTATGAAGAGAAGTAGTATTAAATAGAGGAAAGACCACCAGACAGAAGCCCTTGGCTCTAGTGACCTCTGCTACTACCTACAAACTTGGTAGACCTTATTTCCTCACTGAACAGAGAAGATAACCTCTAATGTTTATTATAGTTAATTTTCATGCTCTTTACTTTTAGAGGTTAAAGGTATCTGGTGATCATGTCAATCTACAATTGTCCCACCACCATTCCACTCTTACATTCTAGATCACGAAAATGGGTTTTTCTGTACTTCTGGCAATGAAAACGAAGTAGTCCAAGAGTTTTGATGCTGAAAATGGCTGCTACAGTACACTTACCTTTTCACATAAGCTAAATCAAGCAGGAAGATTAATACAACAATGTGAACTATGTAAGAATATTACATACCTTTCAAAGATAAATGTTTTTTTCTTTTAAATCTATTATTATTTTACCAACGTAAAAGTTTACAAAGATGAAGAGACACTGC